AATGTGAGATTCAAGTATTTGAATTGCAATTTTACAATGTGTCATGTCATTCCACAATGCAAGATTTGAGTATTTGAATTGAAATTTTACAATGTGTCGTGTCATTCCACAATGTGAGATTCAAGTATTTGAATTGCAATTTTACAATGTGTCATGTCATTCCACAATGCAAGATTTGAGTATTTGAATTGAAATTTTACAATGTGTCGTGTCATTCCACAATGTGAGATTTGAGTATTTGAATTGCAATTTTACAATGTGTCATGTCATTCCACAATGCAAGATTTGAGTATTTGAATTGAAATTTCACAATGTGTCATGTCATTCCACAATGCAAGATTTGAGTATTTGAATTGCAATTTTACAATGCGTCATGTCATTCCACAATGTGAGATTCAAGTATTTGAATTGAAATTTCACGAATAGTCATGTCATTCCACAATGCAAGATTTGAGTATTTGAATTGCAATTTCACAAGTTGTCATGTCATTCCACAATGTGAGATTCAAGTATTTGAATTGCAATTTTACAATGTGTCATGTCATTCCACAATGCAAGATTTGAGTATTTGAATTGAAATTTTACAATGTGTCATGTCATTCCACAATGCAAGATTTGAGTATTTGAATTGCAATTTTACAATGCGTCATGTCATTCCACAATGTGAGATTCAAGTATTTGAATTGAAATTTCACGAATAGTCATGTTATTCCACAATGCAAGATTTGAGTATTTGAATTGCAATTTCACAAGTTGTCATGTCATTCCACAATGTGAGATTCAAGTATTTGAATTGCAATTTCACAAGTTGTCATGTCATTCCACAATGCAAGATTCGTGTATTTGAAATGCAATTTCACAATGTGTCATGTAATTCCACAATGCGACATTCAAGTATTTGAATTGCAATTTCACAATGTGTCATGTCATTTCACAATGCGACATTCAAGTATTTGAATTGCAATTTCACAATGTGTCATGTAATTCCACAATGCGAGATTCCAGTATTTGAATTGCAATTTTACAATGTGTCATGTCATTTCACAATGCGAGATTCAGAACTTACAGAACAGGGAAAGTTTGTTAAATGCTTATTGCACCCTCATATTTATCAGAGAAAAAAACGTAAAATTATAACAGTGAATAATTAATGAATTTACAGTATACATTGCAGAGAGTTCAATGGACATATAGAAAGAGACTGGTCAGAGTAAGGTCCAGTGAAATGAGATTGCATATTGAATACAGATTTGTCAAAATCCAGACCTAGACTGATACAATACACACGATACTACTAGGCAGGTGAGAAAATGAAAATTGTTCAGTATCTGATTGAAACGTGTGCTTAAAAGTTTATGAATGGCAACAATAGTTGGCAACTGCACTGTGTATTACTTATTGATTCAATTATTAGTACCTGTATGTAATTAACCCATATATTCAGTGACATCTGATCCTGGGGTGACGAATAAAGCAGACCTCATGTTATGAGTGAAATCAAATGT